CAGATGCTGGGCTCCTCCACAGGGCCACACCTCCTGTCTGGCTGCCTTCAGTGGTGGTAGGTGGCCTTGGGCTTTACACTGCGATGGTATAAGCTCTAGTAAACCATTCAAGCTGAAAGCCTGTGGTGTTTGTGTTGCCATTATAAAATCAAACACTCTCATTCTTCTGTTTCCTTAACAATATGGACTTTTCAGCCAGAGCACATATGTTCCCATGGTTATTATTAGCAAGACCTTTTTCTATGCTTGTATATCACAAAACACATATGCACAGATATTATCCTTGAACCAATTACTAGCATATTGCCTACATAGTGGCCACGTACTAATTTTAATTTTTTGTTGAAAAAAATGAATTAAATAAATTGGAGGCTTTTAAAAAAATAAAAACCCTAAACAGTAACTAGAGGAGAAAAAATATAATGTTTGGCTTTGTATCTCTGTTGCATTCTCTGGGGTCATTTTTAGAATTTTATTTCTTTTTTTGGTACTGGGGATCGAACTTGGGACCTTGCACCTGCAAGGCGGGCTGTGGAACCCCTGAGCTAAATTCCCAGTCCTCAGAATTTTATTTCTTAAAAGAATACATACACATTTCCCCCCGTATAATCCTCCTTTTTTTTCAACTAGGGCATCTTTAAAATCTTTAACAACTGTGACTCCTAAAAATATATTAGGAGGGATTATAAGTGCATGTAGTAGATTACATAGAAATTAAACCATTTTACTATCATTTTTGTGTGCTCTGTTAGAAAACTAAAGTCATTTTGGGGTATAATCAGATTTTTCTGGGAAAAATCTCTGGAATAGCCCTGGTTAGTTATGTAAATATAAGAAAGGAACAATATCTTGCTTGAAAGAAATGATATAATATTACCTTATTCTTGGCTTTGACTTGAAATTTATTGCCCCTCCCAGTAACCCTCTGCATTTAAAGCTCCTACTTTGGGGGCAACTAAGTCAGTTTGCTCTTAAAAGGCAAAGAATTGAGCCCTCCAGTCTTTCTTTTTTTGGAGATTCACTGCATTTAGCTACTGATGAATAGATGTTTCAGCCTGAGGCTGATTTTGAGGAAATTACATGGAGGCCTCAGGAGGGGCTTCACGGTGAAGGCAGAGTGTGCCCTATGCTGCTTACCTGTGGCTCATCACTGGAGTTCAACCTGTCCCGAGGGCAGATGCCCTGCAGACCCACCTGTCTGGGCCTGGAGTTGGGGATTTAGAAATGAGGAGAATTTAACTTAACCAGCATAACCTTGGGAGGGAAGGGGGCATGAAATCAGCAAGCCTAGGAGCCTAATCCCTGTGCAATTGAAACTCTAGTCCTTCTCACTGCAGTTAATAGAAGGCAAACACCAGATCTGGTGGGAAGTTTGGCTGTGTCTGCAGAGCAGCTATCATTACATATGCACAGAGTGAACCTTTCAAAAAGTGGGATTTCACTTAGAAGACATAAGCTGTGAAGCAGGCTTTGTATTTCCCAGCTAATAAATAATCTCATATTACCCATTTACATACATTTTAAGCTTATATGTAGCTCCTCTTTCCCTTTAATGAACTACAGTGACTCGCACTTAACGAAATATTATTCCAGTTTGGGGAGGAACAACTTAGCTTAGATTTGCTTGCAACATAGATGTTATATTAAAGAATTTAAGAATCATAATACTACTAAATAGTAAGGAAAAAAATGTGAGTTGTGGTGAAACCACACTATGGTGGGAGGTAACCTGGTATGCGAAACACAGAATGTTTTCCTGAGGAGTGAGGCTATGGGATTCCTATGGTACAGAGAGGTGGAACTAGCAGTCCTTGTTGAAGACCCTGAGGGTTTAAGGGAAATAAGAAATTGTTCAATTAGGGAGCCAAAGGTGTGAGATAAGACTGGAGAACCATTATTAAGGATGTTGGCTTTATCCAAGGGAAGAGGAAGCCATAAAAAGAATGACCCTGCTTGATTTACATCTTAAAGACACATTGTTTTCAGAAAACATACTTGGTTATGGTAGGCCGAAGAATTGTGCCGGGTGTGAGGAGGCAAGTGAAGAGTGAAGGGACAAATGCAATCAGGGATTTCTTACTAAAATCCAGGGAGCAACCAGTGGTAGTTTGAACCAACAAGAAGGCTGTGGCTTGGAAATAACTGAATAGATCAGAGATAAATAGCCAGAAAGCAAAATTCCAAACGGTCAGTGATTCACTGGATGTCAGGGAGGAATGTATAAAGAGGAAAAGCACTCCCCCCAAGAATGACTGTCTAAATATCAGTTGTATGTTAAAACTGAGTAAGATTTCAAGGACTAGCTAATGCAAATGTCTCTTTAATTATCAAGAAGTTGATGCAGCACGGATTAGTAAAGGGAGTCTTCTTTCTCTGTGTAGGTGGCTCTGTAGTGATGGAACCTAGATTAGATCCAAAGTCATGGACATTTTTCATTATCTTTCTTTGCAGTACCTTTTCTTTAATGCATACTAATAGTCACTTAGGACTACTAATTAATTTTCTAAATATATATACAAAATCACACTGGGTTGTTTTTCAACAATTTTTTCTTCATTTCTTCCAAAACGGTTGGATATTTACCTATTTGATACACTAGAACATTACCTACAGTTATCTATATAAATGGGAGAAATGGACTAACTTACACTTGAAAGCCAAACCTGAAATTATTGGGGATAGCTCAGACATTCTACCTGAAATATTTTTAAAAGTCATATTATGTATTCATGCAATTTGACTAAAATATCACAAACTTCTCAATTGGATGTGGTCTCCCTTAACCAGACTTTAGTCTAACTGATCATGGTGTCCATCTTTTGGGAAAATTTGCAGCACTGAAAAAACTCATATGCTATTACCAATCAAGCTTTAGTATTTCCATCTTGCTACATCGGATAAATGCCAAGAATTTAACTTTAGAAATCTTTTTTGGATAATTCAGCTTCAATACAGTCTACTATAAGTTTAATCAGGGGAAACCAAGGGAAAAATGAAATAGATGTTTCAATTCAAATGCCAGCATTTGGATAAAGGACTGTGTAAACATGGGCATTTAATTTTATTGAAATTTCAATGAGTTTTGTACTCATTGAATATAAGGTCTGTTAATTAAGGTATGAGTGCCCTATAAATTTTGGTTTAATGCATATTTGCCACTTACAGTTTTGTCTGACAATAGCTCTTTGTAGAAAATGGAGAATAAATCTAAACCAATTAAGATACTATGTGTGTAGTTATGAATATTGTAAAAGAAATGAGTTTACTAAGGATTATGCATTTTAACATGTGTTAAAATTGTATTTCATTAATTCTTGCTAACTCTTTTTCTGACCATACCTCCACAAGAAAATGTGCCAATAACTAATTGTCTCTTGGACAAGTTAATATAACACCTAATAAAGACAGATCATGTAAAATCATACACAAATCTGATCCTGTTTACAATCAAGGATTAAGATTTTAGGGAGTACATTTTTTAACATAGTGTGTAAGAGGAGCTTTTGGGATATTAAAATTGTAAAGATATAATCTTTGTTTCAGAGAATTCACATTCTTATGTGTGAAAGACACAGACACAGAGGTGGGTTATAAGAATTGTAGAGTGTAAGTAACAGCTAAGAATGTAGCTGTTACTTCTATTGTGGGCAGTTATTGGATTCTTGAGTTGGACTTTCAAAGAGGGCAGGGATATTTCGGATGGTGAAAGACATTGAAATCACCACAATTTTCTCAAATCACTTCTTATGAAAAGCGTTTCTCAGAAGCAATCCAAGTTATCTAGATAAATGAGATGCTAAGTGAAGTTATCTAGAATTTGAAAATAAGGCAAAAAAAGATGATTCCTTGTTTTCTGTTTGTTTTAACAGAATATTATCTAAGTTCTTCTGGGAGTGTTTCTTTGTTTTGAATTATTATTATTAAATTATTAAGTAATTACTAAGTTATTTTCTGTTAGGGTAAAACACGTAAATTTCATGTAGATTTTTACACTTTAGAGAAAAAAAAGGATTTCTATTAAGGAGAAAGATGACTTTGAAAGTTACAGTTTTGTAGTCTGGGGACATATAACCTAGCAAACCTATTCCAGCATTTGTTCTGTCATTGAGAAAATATACTCAGTCTTTGGAATTCTTATTGGAATCAAATTTATCATGCTGCTGGCTCTCTCACAAATGAGTTAAATATACCTTGATATGTCTTCATTCTATATTTGGAAAAATCATGCTTTTAAGTTATTAAAGTTATGGATGAGTAAGGCATGCACTGGAGTTAATCATTTCTGAGTCATACAGAAGATGGTCCCCATTCCACTTAACAGAAAAGATGACATCACCTTTTCCTTTGCTTCCTTTTCACACTTTGTCCTCCCTGAGGTCTCTGGAAAAATCTCAAGAAAATAATCAGCCCTCACTTTCTACTCATAGAAGTGTCCCAGAAAAGGACCTGAGGCAAATCTTTGTATTTCATTTGTCCTTAATGATGGGAGAGGTAAGAATAAGTATGCTACAGAATGTTTCTTCATTTGATGGTGTTTGCTCTGTAAAGCCTGCTCCATTTGCTAGCTCTAGAAATAAGAAGGGGGAAAATTTAAAAGGCTCATTCTGTTGTTTAACCTCCATAATCTCATAGAGCATTTCTAACTCAGGCTAAAATTCAGATTTTTAAGTTCCCTTTAGGATTTCATTTGGATTATAATTATAATCCATTTCTTGGGGGCAAATCAGATGATATTAGGTGGTCTCTTATGCAATGACAAACACAGAAATTGTATTCAAACCCTTTTGTAGCTACACATGGAAACTTCTCTGGCATTTACTTTCTTGCTTCTCTTTGTTCCCTATAAAACAAGCAACAGATACATTAGCTGAATGTCTTTCCTGAACCTGCACCATATTAACCATTGCATTTTCATTTTACTTTCTATGTTAATTTTCCACTAATGTAACAAAACACCTGAGATAATCAGCTTAAAAAGAGGAAATTTTATCTGGACTCACAGTTTTGGAAGTTTCAGTATATGGATGACTGGCAGCTTTCCTTGGGACTATTGTGAAATTGTCCATCATGGCGGGGAATGTGTAGTAATAGTAGTAATCCACTCTTCTCAAAGCACTAGGAAGCAAAGAAAGCGAAGAAGGGGCTGAGATCTCGATATTCCCTTCAAAGTCTTGTCCCCAACCATGTAACTTCCTTCTACTTGGCTCCACCTCTTCAATGTCCCACCACCAATAGCAACCCAGGCTGGTAACCACACCTTCAACAAGGACCTCTGAGGCCTTTTATTCAAACTATACACCTTTAAACCTGGTTTTTGAAGTCTGTATTGTTTTAACAATGATATGCTTTGTCTTGAAATGTAGAATGATGTCTTTCTTCATGAAGTATTATTATTATTATTATGTGGTTTTTTTGGTACCAGGAATCGAACTTGGGTCCTTGCGCTTTCGGGGCAGGCAGCGGAACCACTAAGCTAAATCCCAGCCCATGAGGTGTTATTTTTAGAAAAGACCTTATGTACATGTGATCCTCACTGGGGTGTTATGACCTCAGAATTTTTGATAGCCAGTCTGAAATTCAGATATGATTATATCTTGTTTTCAGAGTAAAAAAATTTCTGAACAAATAAAACCTCATATTTCAATCAGAAAACATGTAAAAATATTTATTACTTAATATATGTACATAAAAATATTTATTACTTAATATATGTACATTACATTCTCACCATTAGCACTTTTCTGTCTTCTCCTAGACTTCATTTTGTTATTCAAAGCAACAGTTTGCTCAGGGCATTGTTTATCAGTATTTGGGTTGGCAGTGTACAGTACGCAAATTAGATATGAGAGCCACTGTTGCAAAAAAAAAAAAAAAAAAGAAAAGCACCAAATCTAATTTAGAAATCTCATCTCTATTTGCAGTTACTTATCCATGTCAGTGTCCTCAGCGTGCATCCTTGGGCCAGATGCATGATGTCCTGCAGAGTATCATAACACTCAGCTGTTAATTTTATAGTCCACGGTCACATCAAGAATGGCAGAAGCAGCCTATAAGCAGGAGAAGACAGCCAGCTGTGAAGTAGTTAAATGCTTGCCTTCTCTGCTGAATGGGGAAAAAAAAGACTGAGCCAACTACACTGATTTCAAAACTTGAATATTTATGGTACAGAAAAGTCAGCCATACATTTACATTTCTAACAGCAAAGCTATAGTAAGGATGGAAAAGAATAATAATAATTTTTAAATGAGACATTGGGCGATAAAACCAATGCTTCACAAAATCTGGTCCCACTTTAATAGAATAAAAATAATTATATAATAATAATAATTTTCAATAATAATTATTGAAAATAGAAGTGCTTTTGTTCCTTCTTGGATCAAAAGTTGTTAATATCAATTTTTCTTGAATCATCATTAATCACATATGTTCAGGGATTATCACTCTATTACTGCAGCAACACCTTATTTATATGACTCTCAAAAAACTAGCTGTTCCACATGAGTGAATTTCACAGATAACTGAAGCATACAGCTTCAATACAAAAACTTTACAAAAATAAACCATTTTTATGAAAACACTCCTGAATTGTATTATGGAACGCTGCTGTCTTAAATAGCAAATGTTCAATAATTAAGAGTTTTTCTTAATGTAGTTAGTATTTCCACAGAACTACTGGATGGGACCAGGAGTTGAGCAGGAAATAAAAATGAAGTTTCTACAGCTCTGCACTGGTGCTGGTCCTGTAGGCACAGGTGTCGGTGCCTGCCCCCACCACACTGTCCTCTGTAAGTCTCAAACTGTCTGTGCAGGAATGGAGTGGATATGTCACTAAGTTGACCATTGCCCTTCAAGATTTCATAGCTGAACACCGCTCTGCCATGCACGAGGCAATGAACAAGATAAATTCACTGCCCAGGATGACTCACTGTCACCTGTATGCCTTCCTGTGGTGTTCCCAAGCTCCTATTGTGGTATCACATCTCTATAGCTGCTCTTTAGAAGTATGAGAACACTTTTGCTATCGCTTGAGTTATATATATATTCCTTATATCTCACAGATTTTACTCGGATGGAGATATCCATTTCTTACCTCAGGAATAGACAAATTCATGGAGGTGTGGCTCAAGCCCAGTATGAATGACAGACATTATTGAGTGATGCAAATAATTCAAGGCTCTGAGAGCCTTTTTAAAGAAGGTAACCATGTACCTTACCAGGCCTCCTGATATATCCTCATGTGGCTGAATGTTAGTGGAAACACAACGTAATCTCAAGGTACTAGAAAAATGCCTGAGAGTTGCCTCTATTACAGTAAGTTAGTTTTTCACTATGTTGCTAAACAGTGGTTAGGTGTTAAATTCCTGATTAACACGCTGTCAAATGTGTGATTGCTTATGTTGGCCCTCCCACTTCTAATTGGCTAATTTCTATTTATTATGTTACAACAGCACAGCCACCCAAAGATAATGGTACTTTACATAAATCATGATTATATCAAGTTTAGGGAAGATCTCATTGCAGTAGTCTTCAATATATTTGAAATCATGCAAATTATAGCAGCATGGTGGAAATGATCAAGTTTTTCAAAAATAATTTAAAAAATCAAGTTGAGCTATGTCACAGAGAGTACTCAGGATAACATCTTACAAATCCTCAGCAATTATCTCTTTGTAATCTTGGAGCCCTTTGAACCTATTACCACATGGCTGTTCTCTTCAGAACCATTCATCTTCAATACCCTTTTCATCTCTTACACTTTGTCATATTCTAGTAACATGAGACCTTTCCTTAAAATACATGGTTTTATATAGCTTTTATTCATTGGACATGACACACTCACTTCAGCTCATACGAAACACATCCATGAAATACTATGATTGTGACTAATAAATTTTATGCAGTGACCAGAATATGGTGACCCACCTTGAAAAGAACCACATTGTGCCATACACCAGTGAAGAACCACGCTGTTATTTTACCTGGCAGTGTTTGGGCACAGATGTGAGAGTTGTACCTCTGTTCTGGTAGTTTCTACTCTTTAGAGGCCTGATTTACCTATATTCACATGTTGAGCATACACAAATGTTATCCTATATTTACAGAAGAGTATATCTAAGATCTCTTTCAACAGAAAAAGTTTATGTTATGAAGTCTGAGCCTGGACACTCCAATTAGGGCTTTGGTACTACTCCTAAGGCCTCTGCTGTCATTTCAAAGCCATGCATTTATAATGAGCTTGCCCTTTCACCTTCCTCTTTTGTTTCTTCTGGACCTTTCCTCTGCTTGCTGTGTTTATTCCCTTAGTAATAATTAATGATACTAGCACTGTCTGGGTCAAGGCAAGAAAACAATCCAATATCTTCCTTTTCATATCATCTTTATATAGGTCAATCTTCTGGTACACCCGGGTTCATTATAGATGTCGGAAAATATAAGTAAGTTTAAAACTTTTTATAAAGGCCTATTTCTTCTGGATTTTCAAATATTCCAAAAAGAAATTGAAGATATACAACTCTTATGTGTCTTAATATTTTTCCTACAACAGGAAGAATTGTATGAATGACTTAATGGAAGGCTGTGGTTGCTATTAATTAGTTTTCTTGAGCTGCTTTAACAAATTACCAAAAGCTGGGATGATTTAAAGAAGCAAAATTTACTTTCTAATGGTTCTGAAATCTAAACATCCAAAATCAAAGTATCAGGAGGGCTATACGTTCTCTGAAGACTCTAAAGGAAAATCTTCTTGCTTCTTTGTAGCTGCTGGTGAGTCCCAGCAATTCTTGGCATTCCTTGGTTTAGGGCGGTTTAATTTCAATCTCTGACTCTTTTATCACATGTTCTTTCCTGTGTGTATCCTGTGTGTTAGTCCCTTTCAAGCCAGGCTAGAATTATTTCTCATGGTTAAAATTTCTCAGAAAGCCCACACAATTTGCACAGCTCTGAGCAGTAGACAGGAAGTAGCCTCTGCAAATCTTTCTTGGATAAGTCTATGTCTATTTGTGGCTTCTGTTGAGAGGGTTGATTGTCTCCATTACGCACAGGCTTATTCTTGTCAATAAAAAGTTGTCCAGTCACACACTGTGAGGTTGGGCATTCATGTTGTAGTTATCCACTCACAGGCCGAGTTTCTGAGTTTGGTTTTCAGAAATCCCAGCAGGTCCCTTTCTTAGCTCCAGGAGAAAAGAGTTTCTTTCTGGGCAGATACAGAAGCTTTCAGGTAATTTATGTTGCAGTGAACTGGGAATCTGAAGCACTGAGCTCATCCCTTTTTCTTCCCACTTCCTCTAAGGAATCACTTTCATTATTATGCTCATTAGTCAGACAAAAACATGCTAATGAATCTCTGTGTGTCTGCTTTCTGTCATGATGACAAAATAACTGAGAACATCAACTAAAAGGAGGAGAAATTTACTTTGCTCATGGTTTCATGGTTTCAGAGGTCTCAGTCTATGGTCTTTTGGCCTCATCATTTCTGGGTTTGTGTTGAGGCAAAAATATCATGGCAGAGAGAAGTGGTAGAGGAAGGCTACATACCACATGGAAGCCAAGAAAATGGGGAGAAGAGAGAGGGAAAAGGGCTGGGGAAAAGATATATTTCCCAAGGTCATGGTTTCATGATCCACTCCCTTCAACTAGACCCCATCTCCTAATGGTCCATTCAGCTATGGATTCATCAAGCATTAATCATTGATGAATTTAGTGCTTACATGATGTGATCACTTCTTGAAAGTCCATCAGATGGCAACAAGGTCTTCAATAGAATGAGCCATTTGGAGGGCATCTTTGGATTATAGTCACAACAATATCAAACATGTGGTCATTCAGAACCTTGACCTTCAGAAGTACTTGATTAAGGGTATCCCAATTATGATATTTGTGTATTGCTATTATCATATGTTATGGACTAAATATTTGTGATTCCTCCATCCTCATTCATAAGTCAAAGGTCAAACCCCCAGTATGGCTGTATTTGAAGAAAGTAATGAAATTTAAATAAGATTTTAAAGGGGTGGGTCTTAATTCTGTAGATCAGTGTTATTATTAAAACAGCTATCAGAGAGCTCATATTTTCTCTGTCTGTGGACAAAGAAAGGAAATCTGTTTGAGGACATCATGGCAAGGCAGCCAACCACATGCAAGGAAGAAAACTTTTACTAGGAGCTGAGCCAGTCAGGACCTTGATCATGGATTTTTTCATCATCAGAACTATGATAAAATACATTTTTGTTGTTTATAGTATATTATTATGAAATTCCAAGTGAATATTACATCATTTCATAGAGTGTCAATGCCCTCCTTATCAATGGAAATACAGTCATTCGTGCCTTTCAGGCTTTAAATATAAACGGCTCAAGGACAAACTATAGAATCTGCAGAACAAATTCAGAAAGCTCATCTTTAAGATTCTGTTTCTCTAGAACTACCCTTGGTACCAAAATTTCTACCAGTCAGGGTTTTCCAGAGAAACAGAGCCAACAGAAGATACAGACGTAGAACTATTGAATCCAAGGAACCTCAGAATAGCAAGTCTGAGCATTGAAGACAGGTAGACCAGAAGGCTGGATATTCTTGGTGCAGGATTGACATTACAGTTGTGAGTCAGAATATCTTCTGGGGGGGCACTCTAATTAGATGAGGCTTACCCAAGTTGAGAATAATCTTTTTTACAAGAATAACCTTCAAATGAATTCAACTGATCACAGACATTAATCATATCTATAAAATGTCTACAGGCAACATCTAGATAAGTCCTTGAGTGATTAGCCCATGTATTGTTCGGCTTTCTGTTGTTACAATAAAATACCTAAGGAAAGATTTTATATATGTGTATATATATAAGAGAGATATTCAGCACAGTTTTGGAGCAGAAAGTTCAAGAACAGGCAGCCCCATTGCTTTGGCTGTTGATGAGCAGCTCCTTGGCTACATTACATCATGGCAGATGGCATCGTTCCAGGAGGGTGTGTGAAAGGGAGCAATCACATGATGAAGCAGGAAAGCAGAGAGGTGAGGGAGGGGCCAGTTGTATTCTTTTATAACAATCTTCTTGCAAAAACAAGAGTCCTGTAAGAGCTATGCCAATTGACACACTTAACTGTGTAGAACAGAAAGTAGGGGAGTCAGGAGGAGATAGGGCCCTGTCCCAGCCAACCAGAACTCTGCCTGCGCTGGCAGTTGTTACTCTTGTTCCATGTGGGAAAGAGCTCGGAGTTGTCCTCTGACAACAGAGCTCAGAGGTTATCAGACACTTCCGTAATCCAGTCAGAGAGTAGCTTTGAGCATGGATTGACTTATTTCCTGGGTGTCATTTTAGAGTTTTTTCACTTAACGACACTGCTGGGGGATTTACAGAAAGAACACAGCAAACAGCAAAACATCCCCGGGTGTGGTTTTTCTAGCAACATACACATGATTCTAATTAATACTGCCTGTCAGCTTTCCACTAACACATCTCTCCTCAGAAATTTTTGTTTTAACAAGCCCTATGTATGTATGCTCCTATTTAAAGTTCTGTCCTGCAAACACAGCTATTTTGATAGTGGCACACATTTGGTTAATTTCTTCTGAAGGATTGTGGATGACTAATAAAAGGTTTTAAATGCATTGTCTTTAGGCTCCCCAGAAATGTTTCCCAGGATCCTTGTTACACTCCTATATACCTGCATGACATCCTTATCTGCCAAGAGCTTTTCCAACCATGTCCCATTTGACTCCTTCCTTTACCATGATTCTGTTTTGGTGGAGAGTATTTTTCTCTCTCCTTTCTCTCCATCATTCTTTCTACCCTCCCTCTTGGTCACTCATTCTTCTTAACTCATCGGCTTCCATATTCTGCCTCCCTTATCTCTTTCCTATTCCCTTCTGTCACTTTTAAAATTAACCATAGTGTGTTTTTTTTCTTTTTAGAAAAAATATTAAATATATGTATGGCTAAGTAAATGGTATGCACTTCATTTTTGTTTAAGAATTAAGTTAATATTTTATTGATTTTTTTCTTGCGTATGTCTGCCACTTTCCCTTGCTAGTAGTCATGTAGTAACTTTCCATTTTATCTTGACTCAGATCTGTTCTGTCCTGTTAGAACTGGTTATTCACTGGATCCATAGGCACAAGGCCAAGAGTCCACAGCATTTTAAGGAAACCACAAAATGTTTTAATTTCTTTTACTATCTGAAGAAAAATATACATAGTTCAGTCTAGATTATATTTATTCTTTATGGTAATACAGCAATAAAATAAAATTTCTCTTTATATATATTTTATGGAGGAAGGGGCCTTCAAAGGCATGTAGGGCCTATAGAAGCCATAATGCAGCCTTGGAAGAAGCAAAGTGAGTTTTAAAAACAGACAGAGAGGACTGAGTTTTAAGACTTCCTGTTGCATCTTAGATAAAGACTTTTCATGTGATAGAAAACTTCTCACATCCTCAACTGCATTTTATGTCGTTTCCTTTCAAAAATCACTATTTTATGAAATTTGTGCTTTGAATTTCTGGACACACCTAACCTTTCACACCTCAGGGCTTCATCCTTCTGGAACGTTCTCCCTAATTGTCTTGGTCTTCCTCTGCCTGCTCTTTAGTCCTCAGTTTAAATGTTCTTCTCTGAGATGACACTTTTTCAGCCATTCAATCTAAACCAAGGCTTCTTTTGATAATCCCAGAAATGTAATTCGAATGCTGTCATATTGATTGCTTAGATATCGATGATTTTTCATTCAATATTCATTCTTCTACTTTGCGGTGTGGAAGCTGCCCCTTCTGATCTTTATTATGGACCGAGAATTCACAGTACTGCTGAGCACTCGCCTTCAGACCATAATTTCAGAAATAAGTAACAGCCTTGAATTGATTAATACATTAATATATTTGAGAATTTTTAAAGAGTCTAAAAATTTTTTATGATATTTTAATTTCTGTACAGTAACTTTGATTTCTTTTACTTTCAGTCCCCCTATTATTAGAGTTATTAAATACTATGCAACTATAAGCTAATAGTAGACTTAAGAACTTAATACCTCAAAATTTAAAATACATGAAAGTGAGTTTTTAAATCTTTTTTATTTGAATCTAATCTCTATGATAGTTAAATTATAATTGTGCCTTTTCTTTTCATAGAGAAAAAATCATAAGGATCCAGGAAGGCCCATGAAATATTGGCTCATGCCCTGAAGTTTTATATAACTGTGAGAATTCTTACCACTCATGTTTGATATAATGGAGACATTGAAGGCTAAGGGCCCCTCTTTTTTCTTCACATTTAAAAAATCAATATTATAGGAAAGGATGAAAGTAATAAAAATCTAAGGCAGTTTATCAAACTTTTAAAAAATTTGCCTCATTATTAAAATACATATTCATTCTCTTAATTCTGATCATTTGGAGATTTAATAGCTTTTAAACCAGTCCCTCATTATTCAAGAGATGCTTATTCTCTTTCCTTCAAATACTTCAGATGTCTACTGTTGGCAGAATTCTGACATCCTCTGAAGCTCTTGGAAAACTCACTAACTTAGTTTAATTCAGGGAAAGCTTCATTAATTTAACTAGATCAGAATGAGCTTCACTCCCAAAAATTAACCTACTTAGCTCAGAAATAGTCTCTCTACCTTCAATTGCCATTTCTCCAGATCACTGCAGTCAGATTGTCATTGTGTTTTCTTCACTTACAAGGACTGAGACCCTTGCAGCTCATAGAATGACCTGGCATTTTACGGGATTCAGATCATTTAAAGGGCCATAGACATATTTCCTGAAATATAGCTTAATTCTGTTCTAAAACATTATGTTTTACTTAAAGAGAGCTACAGCAATTATCTATGTCTTTAAAATCCCCTTTTTGACACTAATGTAAAATTGCTACCAATGATATTTATTTCAGGCCCCTCCTTTAAAATGAATAGTTACTACTATTTGAATAAAACACAGAGAAGTTGCTAACTTGTTCTTTCAAAGAGATTTTTTTTTTTGCAACTGACTTAAGCAATAGTCAGAAAAAGAAGAATAACATGCATGAAAAGCAATAATAGTAGTTTCTCATTCTGTAATCATTGAAGAGTGGGAAATTTTATATTATTTTATTCTTTATTAATACTTACAAAGGGAATATGTCAAATGTGATTACTTTTGTTCACTTTCATCAAATTACATTCTTCTTGCTTTTTTAGCAGTACTAGCTTACAAACTTTAAGTTGTATTTGTAAAATGAGCAGTTGAGCATTTTACTGATGGGAAAAATTTAAGTTGGAATTAAGATATATTATTTAGAATCATAAAAAGATTGAGTTGGAAGACAATTTAGAGATAATATACTCCAATGCTCACTGTGAATCCTCATTTTATTATTTCACAGATGAGGACACTGATTTCCCAAGAATTGCTTATTTCTGCAGATCTAATCAGTATGAACAATAATTTATCAATTTCTCAAAGAAACCAGTAATGTGTATTTCTTTAGGTTAAGTGCTTCACAAGCACAGTTTATTTTCAAACTCTACCAATAATGCGAATACTTAACATATGCCTCATGTTTAATAAATATTATCTGATATCGTATAATAACTATAACATTCCTTGTAGACTAAATACATAAAAGGTATTGTCATTTACTTTATTGAATTCTTTAGAGGTATTCATGGAGGAAATGAGGTCAATATTGTCAAGATTATTATTCGTTGAATTGGGTTTCTATGTTGCTGAATAGATTTTTAATAAGGAACTGATGCTTGAGATGGAATCATTTTCTAGTCTACACTTAATATAGGCAGAAACACAGGGGAACCTACATAAACAAGAGAAAAAGTCCTCAAGCTCAAGTTCTAGAGCCAAATCAAAGTGCTTGATGCTGACTTACCTCATTTTGATCTTAACTTGCTGCTTGCTCCTTCCAAAAGAAATGTTAGATCTGGGTCTGTCTTGAACAAACTGCTTTTTTCTGTAGCTTCAGGCTTTATTGTCACTGAGAATGGCCCTTGAGACCTGTCACAGCATTCATTATTTTGCCTTCTTACTAAAAGTTTAAGATTCCCAACATTTAACTGAGAATGTGTTATGGTTTGGTGTGTGTTTTCCTAGAGATAAAGCAGTCTTTATCTTGTGGTATTATGACAGCATTGAGATTAATACTGGTCTTTTGTTTTAGAAACAAAACTTCCTTTTAAAGGATAGAAAATAAATTAAAAGTCATATTAATGTTCAAAAACATTCTTCAAAATCTCTCTAAGAAGTTAACAGCTTACACCAAAGGAATCCCTGTGGTCTGTTCCCCTTCTGACTTACTAGAGCTGCCTCTGAGTGGAAAACTGAGTTGCTTCTCGATTTTGTCTCTAGCTGTTGTGCCCAGAAGACTTGAAAGCAGGGAGGCGATTCCAAGATGCCTATAACAGCAGGACGTTTTTCTCAGGGAGTACTCATTCATGCCTCACTGAAAGTGAAGATCCTGTCAGGTATGCTTTACACAATTAAGCCTTTGCTTGAATCAGGTGCATAGTCACGAAGAAGAATCCATCAGAACAAAAATGATTTATGCTTTTTATAAAGTGAGATACTTCCTTAACTATTTGAACCAAAACAAAGTCAAAATCAAACAAAAGCTTTCATTAGCCTAGTATCACCTCAATTTTCTTGTCACCTGACAGATCCACGACAAGACTGACTTCACAGCCATTTCACTGATCAAGACAGTCTTTATGGGCATTTTTAGTAAAAGATAAATGGTAAGGAGAACTTTTTATGTAAGAGATTGCATTTGGAAAATGTTTAGTTGCACTGAGCATGTGTTTGGAGTAACCTGTGACCTATGTCTCTGTTGTTTAAGGATTTTTGTTCCAGGATTTGTTTCTTGCTGGAGAAATGTGCCCACAAGCCTGTACTCATAGATTATTGTACACTGACAGCCCAGGCATGGGCCTGATTCTAAGCAAAACTGTGACAGCAGTCTATGGGGATCCCCTTCTTTTTATGAACTACTTGCCCCGCACTGTGCCGGTTTCCCAAACTGGCATCTCACAGGAGTCTGGTGGCCTATCATGTTTTATAATCAACAGATTGCATTCATATTGGTGAGAGACCTTGGAGAATAAGGTTCCAGAATAGCTCATCCCTTTTACATACTGTTACTTTCACCAGCGCTACTGATGGTTCCTAGATTTTTAGATTTTATAGTAGAGTGAAATTTCAACAACAACAAAATGGGGATGTGACAAGATAAAGGGAAAAAATAAAATAGAGCTGTCAGCTTAGTATTGTATTGATAAAAAGTGACAGTAGACACACATACACAAACACACACCCTCACCCCCACACACCTACTACATGATCTGTTATGGTTTGGGTCTGGATGTTCCCCCAAAGCCTCACATGGTCTAGGCTTGATCTAGCAAGTAACTAACACATGATCGCAGTATATTTAGCCAGTGATATAGAAATCAGTGGGCTGGAGGCAGCTCCACAGAACCTGGACACATGTAATATGGCCCAGACAGCTTTCCCCTCATCTCTGGCCTCTGCAAAGCATGCCCTGTAGCTGCTGGTAATATTTCCCAAGCTGGTGGGCACCTACTGGAGTTGATAAAAATTCCTGATTCTTGCTCCACCACAAAGGTTAGGACATTTCTATCAGCATTTGAGATCATCTGTGCTCTTCTATAGTTGACATCTACATCAGACATATTTATGTCCAGAAGCTGAATGAGCTCAGCATGAACAAAGTCCCATCCTTATGATGTGGAGAACAGTGAAAGCAAAAGACATTGCCTGGGTGTCTCTGACCTCTTTTAGCTTTCTCCAGCAAGCCTTCTCACCTATCTCAATTTTGTTTTGCTCTTGCCACATAAGGGAATCAAAGTACAATGAAATAAAACACTACCACCTTTTTGTACCAGTATTATTAAAAATTAAATAATGCACTTAGTTATTATATTGAATTTTTAATTATTATTTACAATATAATTTCATATATAAAATATATTTTTACTCAACATAAAAATGTTCTAATCTCAAAACAAAAGTAAGCCCTTTCACCACTCTTTGCATGCCAGAGAAAGCCTGTACAGAGTTGGGATTCCTCCATGTTGGATCTGCAGTACTCTGGGCTACATCTAGCCTATTTGCTCATTAGTAAACTGCTTAGCTACCACCTTTGATTTTCCATTGATAATTCAGTTGTGCTAGTCCATCAGTCCCTTGCATTATTTTAACATGCACCAGGTGGCGATAAGAAAGCATACGTAAGCTTGTGCCTTTCATCTGAGATGAGAATTCATGATTTTTAAAAAAACTTTGTATCTCAAAATTCAATTAATTTGATTATTAAGGAAAACTATCACTATATAACAACATCAGGTCTACAGAAGAAAGACCAAAAACACCATAATATACCCAAACTGGCATTTGTTAAATTTTTTAATTGACTTTTTTGGGGGTGTACATTTCCATAGAGCACTACATTTTCTCTTTAATGAGACTTTACTAAAAAGTGTGATTGATCCCCAAATGAGACTTTGTTTATATTAAAGCCAAGTCACTACTTCTAACTCCCTTCAAGGTCTCTGTTTCTCTGTTGGTTGCTTGTTTGTATTTGCAAGTTCCTGTGGTTTTTCATTCAACTTTCACGATATCTACCTATGTGATGAGAAATGGTTCTTACTTCTTTTCCTCCTCACTTTAGCTTTCAGTTCTTCAAAATAACACAAGTACCAATTGTTTAAAACTCCACGCCACCGAGTCAGTCAGAGAATTGACACAAAGTGATCTGTTTTTTTATAGAGTGACCCTTCTCAAATGGCATTTGCCCTTAGGGACTGTGAGCCATACCAGCAAAACCAACAGAGGTGATTTGGAATCTAAAGACATTCTTGCTTAAATTACAGCAAGTAAACCTGGCATAGTGGCACATGCCTCTAATCCCAATATTCTGGGATATTGAGGCAAGAGTATGGTAGATTAGGGGACAGACTGGACAATTTAACAACTTAGAGGAATCCTGTCTCAATAAAGGAGGAAGAGAGATATAGCTCAGTGTGACGGTCCTAACTTAAATTCCCCATATCTCAAAATGATCAAGCAGTGAATATCAGTTATGGATTATGAGTGTGATGAAGAAGAAGACCAGTGTGATTAGGGGAGTAATTTAGGGGCAAGGGAGTAAAAGCAGAATGTTTTATCAACAGTGGTTGTCCTAATTCTTGTCTTCTATCATTGGACTAAACCTAGTTCCCAGAGCACTGTGAGTTTTAAGGTATACCAAGAGATGCAGGGATGGAGAAAGAGTGGGGTTAAAAAAAGATTTAAGAAATGTCATAAACATATACCAACTCCCCATTGTGAATGTAATCATCATGTACTACAAATATAATAAAATATAAATAAATAAATATATAAATGCAGGTATGTCTAGTTCTTAGCCTTCACCTGGTGATATTAAAAATATTGGTAATTCATTCCATCTTCTTATATTATGATTTAGTAGCTATGGAATGAGGTCAGCAAATTATTTGGTCATTTCATTTATTTCTCCACATGATTTTGGGGGAAGACATGTCTACATTGAAAACCAAGCAACTTAAACCAGTGATTTAACAAAGATAGGAAGGGACAGCACTTCAATCTTAATGCCTGCTCCTCAATCATGGTAAGAATACTTGGAAGGCGACCTCTACTTGATTCATTGAAAAGACTGGGAAAGAGTTTCTTTCCGACTGGCTTGAATCATTACTAAATATGCTTTTTATATTATAAATATGCTTTTTATATTATAAATTATAAATTTATAAATGTATAATGTAAATTCATACTATTTTATGAGAGTTGTCAGAAACGCTTAGGAAACCTACTTCTTTCCCAAGAATATATCTGTAAAGGGATAACATATAAATAGGAAAAACACACTAACATGCAAAAGAACCTCCATGTTTATTCATTATCTTAGAGTTTATTCATTATCTTAGAGTTTTAGAACTGGAATAGACCATAAAGAAGATCTACATCAGTATTTTTCAAACTGCAGTCATGATCTAATAGAGTGTAATAGAAATCAATGCAGAGAATTATAGCTAGCATTTTTTAAATACTAGAAATAATATATGATGGAACAGAATAGATTGAAAAATAATGTATCAGTCCATCACATGCAGGAAGGTTTTTTTTTTTTGGTGTGGACATGTAGGATTTCATAGTCATGGATCACCACGTAAAACTTCTTTTTCTTTTTTTTTACAGTAGCAGCCATCAGAATGTGTATAAAGAATGGTATAAAGAATTCTTTCCCTTGACAGAGGGAACAAATGGGTCCTCGAGAACTTAAAGAAATTAATCACATTCACAAAGCTAGATTATGGAAACGATTGGATCAAAAGCAGACTTCCTGCTTAGTCCTTTTTTTTTTGAGTTTCTTTCTTGGCTTTACCATGCCATCTGAAATACAGAATTCTGGAGAAGCAAATAAGCTTGATTTTTCTTTTGTACACTGTCTTGGTTACTTTTATCATTGCTGAGACAAAATACTCTACACTCAAAGTTAAAGGAGGAAATGTTTATTTAGATCACTTTTTGTAGAGGTTTCCAGAGGAGAAACACTTCATGGAGGGCAGAGGATAGCAAAACAACAAGGGACAACCACAGCTCTTTCTATCCCTTATATCTTATGCAGGCTATTTAGGGTGGGTAGTACTCACACCCTTAATCTTAGTACCCTTGATCCTAGCATTGCACTATGAATCAATCCAGCATCACACATTCCATGTCCAGCCACCTTTGGAAAAGCCCCACCTATGACCACATGAAGGTTTGGGGGGGACATTCAAACACAAGCCATAACATACACACATCAACTAAAAGACTTCAAGTTTGAGAGAGTTAAAATGCAGAAAGGACAGAATTCAAGTCTGTAGTTTTAATGTAAGAATAATAGATTCTGCTACTTTTGGAAGACATTTGACTACTTTCCGTCCAGAAATCATTGTTTTAGAAAGATTATATTTGATTAAAATGCAAAAAG